AGGACAAAATGATGCCAAAACCTTCGTACAATCAACGATTTTGCTATGGAGGAAGAGAAGCGCGGCCCCCTCAGAAGTCCAAAATGGGGCCAAAACCGTAGTAAAATCAATGATTTTGGCTTCAAAGAAGAGCAGAGGGGCCAAACTCTGCCCCCCCCGTCGGGGCCAGAATCCTCGTGAGGGTCGTCGTTTTTTGGCCCTCCCAGGAGTCGAAAAAGACCTCCCTGAGAACACTCGGGGCTCCCTGTCCAGGCCCAGGGGGAGGGGGTAGGGGGAGGGGTAAACCCCTCCCCGAAGGGGAAGAAGGGGGGTTGAGTAGGGGGTTGAGGACAGAGAGAGCTCTCTAAACCACTCACGCCCAAAGGGCTGGTGGGACTTCCCGTCCTGTTTTTTACGACGTGATCATGTCTGGGGGCGTTGCCCTTCCCAAGCCTGCCCGCGGCTGTCGTGGCCCGCCTCGCCGCCGCTGCTCGGACACCGACCGCCCAGGGGTGCGCTCTGTGCAGACCTTCGGCGAGGCGAGCCCCGCCGTGGGCGACGAGGGCTGCCCAGAGAGAGAGAGGCACCACGAAGGCCCGGGCACGCCCAACCCGCCTCAGGGTCATCGATCACAGATCCCTCCTCCCCCTCCGCCTCCTCCGCCCCCTCCGCCTCCTCCGCCTCCTCCGCTTCCTCCGCCTCCTCCGCTCCCTTCGCCCCCTCCGCCTCCTCCGCTCCCTCCCGCCTCCCCCTCCTCCTCCTCCTCCTCCTCCTTCCCCTCCTCCTCCTCCTCCTCCTTCTTCCCCTCCTCCTCCTCCTCCTTCCCCCCTCCCTCCTCCTCCTCCTCCTCCTCCCCTCCTCCTCCTCCTCCTCCTCCTCCTCCTCCTCCTCCTCCTCCTCCTCCTCCTCCCTCCTCCTCCCTCCTCCTCCCCCCTCGCCCCTCCGCCTTAACTCTGCCCCCTCATCCGCCTCCTTCCGCCTCCTCCGCCCCCTACTCCGCCTCCTCCGCCACCTCCACCCCCTCCGCTCCCCTCTCCGCTCCGCCGCCTCCACCAATCCTCCACCTCCTCCTCCTCCTCCTTCCCCTCCTCCTCCTCCTCCTCCTCCTCCTCCTCCTCCTCGCTCGCTCCTTCCCATCCAGCACCTCTGCACCGGGTCGCCAGCCTCCACAGGGGCTGCGCGCGCGGGCGGCCATGAGCGCGATGGCGGCTGCGGCCGCCGGGGCGATGGCGCGGCGGCTGGTGCCGCGCCCTGGTGGCGCGGGGGCGGCAAGGATGGCCGCCGCTGGCGGCGCTGCCGCCATCTCCGCTCTCAGCCTGCTGCCCTCGGCGAGTGCGAAGGAGACTCCGCCGCCGTTCACCCTCGGCGCGCCGAGGTACGACCAGTCCACCTACCTCGGGAGACTGCGGACCATCCTCGAGAAGATCGAGCCCAGCTCGCTCTTCGTGTCTGAGGCTGAGGTGAGGCGCTGCCAGGCGCTGCTGGACGCCTTCGCTGCCACTGGCGCCGCCCCGCCAGGCACCAGCGACGAGGAGCTGTGGCGCGCTCGTGCGACAGTTGATGCCTGCATCCATCCCGTCAGCAAGGAGGTGATGTTCGCGCCTGGCCGGATGGCGGCCTTCGTGCCCATGAACGTGCCCATCTGCTTTCTCATGCTGAACGCCCACAGCTACCCGATGGTGCTTTTTAGCCACTGGGTGAACCAGAGCTACAACGTGGTGAACAACTACGTGAACAGGTCTTCCCTGGAGGTAGACTGGGCTGGCCTCCTCAAGCCGTACGGTGTCGCCGTGACCGTGTCCTGCGGCATCGCGCTCGGGTTGAAGAGGGCCATGGTGGCCTTCCCAGGCCTCGCCAAGCTGGGGCTCTTCGTGCCCTACTTTGCGGTCATCTCCGCGGGCGCGTGCAACGTGGCGTTCACCCGCATTCGTTGCGTGATATCCGACCCCGAACCAAACCTCCAGGTCGGTTTCGGAGGTCGCCGCGGCGATCTCAGCGTCCACACGTCGGGACAAGTTTCTCGCCACGGAATGCCGTGCCTCTTCCCAGCCACCTCGCCGCTCTGCGATGCAGACGTGGGTCGTCATAATCAATCCAGCGACAGAACGTTGTTCAGTCAGTGCATGTCCAACATGTACCCAGTGCGTTCCACTACACGCAAGGTGCCTACTCGCAAACGTCTAGAAAACACGGGCTGACTTCAATATACTGGGTCGCAGGTCCCCCGCGGCGGATCCAGGCCCTCTGCAAACATGCACTGTGCAAGTCGTGGGACGCGCTTTTCTAAGCATGGGCAGTCTCGTTTTGCTTTTTTCTTGGTCAGGGGGCGATGATCACGCCACCACGCATGGACGAGTGGCGCGGGCGAGGCGTCTGCATCTTCTCCCCCGACGGCCAGGCGCTGGGCATGTCCCTCAGCGCGGGCCGCCAAGCCGTGCTCAGCACGGTCGCCACGCGCTCGTGCGTCCTGCCCATCTCGGTGCTGCTCGTGCCGCCGGTGGTGATGCGGCTGCTGCCCCTCGCCGGGGGCGCAGCGACCGCGGCGGAGCTGCTGGTGATCATCCTCGGGGAGCAGATGCCGGCACAGGCACGGACCTTCGGAGGTCCGCCCGCGCCGAGCCAGGGACTCCGCGCGGGCCTCCAGGACGCTCCCGTGCAGTGCCCGCCTCTGCGCCCCGATCGTCGGCTGCATCTCGCTGGCGCTGCCGTGCACCCTGGCCATCCTCCCGCAGGAACTGTCGCTGCCCGTGTCGAGCCTGGAGCCCGAGTTCCAGGTCGGGTGTTGCTAGAAGCGCTCCTGGCCCAAGGTGCCCCCAGCTTTTCGCTCCAGTTTGGAGTCCCTGGGGTCCTCTGGGCCTCGTGAGGGGTGCCCTGGAGGCCGCCTGGGCCACCCCGAGAATCCTGGGGGTACCTTGGGCCAGGGGCACCTCTAGCACCACCCGACCAGGGCCTCCTTGGCGCGGACGGCCGGCCCGTGACCACCGTCGTCGTCAACAAGGGCCTGTGACCTCCGCGGGCGGCCGCCGCCGCCGCCGCCGACGCCGTCGTCTTCTCCGCGCGCCGCCCCGCGCCGCCCCGCGCCCGGGCGCGGCCGCCGACCGCCGCCGTGGGCGCGCGCGGCCGGCGCGCGAGGCGAGGGCGGCGGCCCGGGCGCGAGGCGGCGCGGCGCGGGGCCCGCCGCCGCCACCCCAGCGAGGAGAGCGAGGCCCAGGGCGCGGCGGGCGCGCGGGGCGTCGGCGCTCGCTCGCGCGCGCGCTCGGGCTCGGGCTCGGGCGCGCGCGCTCGGGCGGCGGCTGCTTCTCGGCGGGGAGCGATCGGGGGGGGAAGGCGAGGAGGAGAAGGCCTTCTCGGAAGGCGGCGGGGCTTTTCAGGAGCCCTCGCGCCTCCGGAGAGGCCTTTTGTGCCTTCGGGGGGGGGGCTAACAAAAGAATTTCTCAGAAGTCCGGGGGACTTCCGAGCCTTCTGAGAAGGCCTGCCCCTCTCACTTCCCCCCCGGGCGCGCCGCCTAGCTTCGAACAGGGAGCGGCCACAGAACTAGCCTGCCCCTGAATTGATGCCCTCGCCGAAGCTACAGCAGCTGCGCAGGAGGTCCGTAGGTCTACGGATCTTCGGCGCACTTTCCATGGATTCGATGAGAAAGTTCATTCTTCACCACCCACCAAGCCACCCCAGCCCAACCCGAAGGCCCAGGTTGACCCTCGATGACCAGTGGGGGCGGGGGTCGGGGAACACGATCAAGAAACACGTGCGGAACCCGCGCGCCCCCCTCCCCCCAACCCGAAGCCTGGGTTCTCGGGCTCGAGCTCGGGGCGGTCTGGCCGGTCGTCACTTCTGGGGCCAGCCCGCTCTGTAGCCGGTCCCCTCCTCGGCGGCGGGCGGCGGGCACTGGAGGCCCCAGCCTGCGTGCCGCGTGCCTGCGTGTGGGCCGCCGCCAGAGCCGCCGGCGCCGCCGCGTGCCTGCGTGTGGGCCGCCGCCAAAGCGGCCGGAGCCCGGCCGGCGTGTGGGGCGGCCTGCGCCGGCGGAGGGCGGCGGCCGCCGCAGGCGGAGCAAAGCCGCGCGGTGCGAGGGGCCCAGGCCCTGGTCGTGACGGCTCGGGCTCGGCTGCGCGCACACGGGGGCGGGGGAGGGGTGCGGCCGATGTTCCACCGCCGCTACCATGTGGGGGACGTCGGAGAAGGGAGGATGGGGAGGTCCTCCTCCTCTCCTCCTCCTCTTCCTCCTGTTTCTCCTCCTCCTCTCTCTCCCACCTATGGTAGTGGTGGTGGAAAATCGGCCCATCAGGGAGGGGAGCGGCCTCTCGAAGAAGAAGAGGCAACATGAAATTAGAAGCAAGTTTTTATTGTGAATAATCATACTAATACTTATCCCAGAGCGACCCTACCTAGGAGTTGGAGCCCCGAGGAGAGCAATATTAGTAGTAACGGTAAACGCCGTCCTCCTCCTTCTCCTCATCGTGGCAGTTGTAGCAGTAGCGGTAGTAGTAGTAGTAGTAGTAGTAGTAGTAGTAGTAGTAGTAGTAGTAGTAGTAGTAGTAGTAGTAGTAGTAGTAGTAGTAGTAGTAGTAGTAGTAGTAGTAGTAGTAGTAGTAGTAGTAGTAGTAGTAGTAGTAGTAGTAGTAGTAGTAGTAGTAGTAGTAGTAGTAGTAGTAGTAGTAGTAGTAGTAGTAGTAGTAGTCGTAGTAGTAGTAGTAGTAGTCGTAGTAGTAGGTATAGTAGTAGTCGTAGTAGTAGTAGTAGTAGTAGTAGTAGTAGTAGTAGTAGTAATAGTAGTAGTATAGTCGTAGTAGTAGTAGTAGTAGTAGTAGTAGTAGTAGTAGTAGTAGTAGTAGTAGTAGTAGTAAGTAGTAGTAGTAGTAGTAGTAGTAGTAGTAGTGTAGTAGGTAGTAGTAGTAGTAGTAGTAGTATAGTAGTAGTAGTAGTAGTAGTTAGTGTAGTAAGTAGTTAGTAGTAGTAGTAAGTAGTAGTAGTAGTAGTAGTAGTAGTAGTAGTAGTAGTAGTAGTAGTAGTAGTAGTAGTAGTAG